ACAGGACTGAACCAGGACTGAACCAGGACTAAAACAGGACTGAACCAGGACTGAAACCAGGACTGAACTAAAACAGGACTGAACCAGGACTGAACCAGGACTGAACCAGGACTGAACCAGGACTAACCAGGACTGAACAGGACTGAACCAGGACTGAACCAGGACTGAACCAGGACTGAACCAGGACTAAAACAGGACTACAACAGGACTGAACCAGGACTGAAACCAGGACTGAACCAGGACTGAACCAGGACTGAACCAGGACTAAACCAGGACTGAACCAGGACTAAACCAGGACTGAACCAGAACTAAAAACAGGACTAAAACAGGACTACATCAGGACTGAACCAGGACTGAACCAGGACTGAACCAGGACTGAACCAGGACTAAAACAGGACTAAAACAGGACTGAACCAGGACTAAACCAGGACTAAACCAGGACTAAACCAGGACTAACAGGACTGAACCAGGACTAAAACAGGACTAAAACAGGACTAAACCAGGACTAAAACAGGACTACATGGGGTCTAATGCAGGACTAAACTAAGACTACAACAGGATTGAACCAGGACTACATCAGGTCTAAACCAGGACTAAACCAGGACTGAACCAGGACTGAACCAGGACTAAACCAGGACTAAACCAGGACTAAACCAGGACTACATCAGGTCTAAACCAGGTCTAAACCAGGTCTAAACCAGGACTAAACCAGGACTAAACCAGGACTACATCAGGTCTAAACCAGGACTAAACCAGGACTAAACAAAGAGTAAACCAGGATCAAAATAAGACTAAACCAGGTCTAAAACAGGTCTAAACTAGGACTAAACTAAGACTAAACCAGGACTACATCAGGTCTAAACCAGGTCTAAACCAGGACTAAACCAGGACTAAACCAGGACTAAAACAGGACTAAACCAGGACTACATCAGGTCTAAACCAGGACTAAACAAAGAGTAAACCAGGATCAAACTAAGACTAAACCAGGTCTAAAACAGGTCTAAACTAGGACTAAACTAAGACTAAACCAGGACTACATCAGGTCTAAACCAGGTCTAAACCAGGTCTAAACCAGGACTAAACCAGGACTAAACCAGGACTACATCAGGTCTAAACCAGGACTAAACAAAGAGTAAACCAGGACCAAACTAAGATTAAACCAGGTCTAAAACAGGTCTAAACTAGGACTAAACTAAGACTAAACCAGGACTACATCAGGTCTAAACCAGGACTGAACCAGGACTGAACCAGGACTGAACCAGGACTGAACCAGGACTTAAACAGGACTAAAACAGGACTAAAACAGGACTAAAACAGGACTAAAACAGGACTAAGACAGGACTAAACAAAGACTAAACCATGACTATATCAGGTCTAAACTAAGACTAAACCAGGACTACATTAGGTGTAAACCAGGACTAAACCAGGTCTAAATTAAGAGTAAATCAGGTCTAAACCAAGACTAAACCAGAAAAAAACTCAGACTAAACCAGGACTGAACCAGGACTAAACAAAGACTAAATAAACTAGGACTAGAACAAGACTAAACCAGGACTACATCAGGTCTAAACCAGGACTACATCAGGTCTAAACCAGGACTACATCAGGTCTAAACCGGGACTAAACTAAGACTAAAAAGTGGAGTGTCAGAAGTCCCTCACATCATGACAGACACAAGAATGTTTCACGTTCTCTTCACTATTTTATTTACACCAAACATCCAAACTCGAGTGTGTCCCAGTTTAGAGTTTTGTAAATCTGGTCACTCGAGTCAAGACACTTCATCTTCTCTAGTGCGGAAGAGTCGAGTGTTGAGTACTTCATGTCCGCAGACAGATCCCGCTGAAACCTCTGAGATCTGGGATTTAAAATCTCCCAAGATTCTCCTCGTGTCTGTGGTGTGTGATGTTTAAAAATCATTTAAAATCCTGTAGTGTGTGGCGGCCTTAACTCAATAAATATAGTTTTATATGTTTAATAGTTGAGGATTAATGGAGAACATAATATTATTGACAGTACAGACAGTTCCAGGACGGGATGGACTCATTTATTTGCATTAAAGTAGATTTGGCTTTTCAAAACACAAACGTTTTTATGATTATTATTTATGTGTTTTTGCAAGTACACACTGGAAACACACACAAAAAAAACACTTATTCAAACGAAACTAAACCAAGACTGAACCGAGACTAAACCAGGACTAACACAGGACTAAACCAGGACTAACACAGGACTAAACCAGGACTAAACCAGGAATAAACCAAGACTAAAGCAGGACTAAAGCAGGACTAAAACAGGATTAAACCAAGACTAAACCAAGACTAAAGCAAGACTAAAGCAGGATTAAAACAGGACTAAACCAGGACTAAACCAAGACTAAACCAAGACTAAACCAGGACTAAACCAGGACTAAACCAAGACTAAACCAAGACTAAAGCAGGATTAAAACAGGACTAAACCAGGACTAAACCAGGACTAAACCAGGACTAACACAGGACTAAACCAGGACTAAACCAAGACTAAACCAAGACTAAAGCAGGACTAAAACAGGATTAAACCAAGACTAAACCAGGACTAAACCAGGACTAAAGCAGGACTAAAGCAGGACTAAAGCAGGACTAAAGCAGACTAAAACAGGATTAAACCAGGACTAAACCAGGATTAACCAGGACTAAACCAAGACTAAACCAGGACTAAACCAGGACTAAACCAGGACTAAACCAGGACTACATCAGGTCTAAACCAGGACGAAACTAAGACTAAGAAACTAAGAAATTAAGACTAAGAAACCAAGATTAAACCAAGGACTAAACCAGGACTACATCAGATCTAAACCAGGACTAAACTAAGACTAAACCAGGACTACATCAGATCTAAACCAGGACTAAACCAGGACTAAACCAAGACTAAACCAAGGACTAAACCAGGACTACATCAGGTCTAAACCAGGACGAAACTAAGACTAAGAAACTAAGAAATTAAGACTAAGAAACTAAGATTAAACCAAGGATTAAACCAGGACTGAACCAGGACTACATCAGGTCTAAACCAGGACTACATCAGGTCTAAACCAGGACTGGTTTAGTCTCAAATCCAGAGGACAGATAGAGTTTGTTGTGTTGTGTTTTTTAGTATAATTCACGTTTTGATTGTTCCACTGGTCAAGCGTTTGCAGCCGTATCGTGTTGTGACTTTTCCCCTGACACACACTGATGTTTGTGGATCCTCAGGAGACGTCGGCATGGCCCTGCTCCAGCTCTGTGCTCCTCTGCTGCTCCTGGCTCCGGCCTGGGCCTCCAGACCGTCGTACTGGGACAGCATCATGACCGCGCACTCCGGTAACTCCTCATCTTACTCCTTTACTCTGTCCACTCACTCCAGACAAATGTCCACTCGGTCCTGACGAGTCTGTGAACCTGAAATCAAACTTTAGTTCAGTCCAGATGAGGAAAAAAAAGCACAGACGTCGTCTCTGTCCAGAAACACAAAAAGCTCTTCACTTCTGCATGTTTTTTCACAATGGCCAGAAGTGTCCTGTTGTAGGTTTGTGGAACTTCCGGTTAATGATTTTCTGTGTCAAAGTGTGTGAAATGTGTGTGTAAATGTGTGTGTAAATGTGTGTGTAAATGTGTGTGTAAATGTGTGTGTAAATGTCTGGCGTATTCTCCACCACCTTCATATATCTGCTCCACAAACATTCTTCCCTGAATAATTTATCTTCAACTATCAACGTAAGAAAGACAAAAACTTAAAGAAGAGCAACGACCACATCTTTTTCTTGTTTTATTTATTTGTAAAGAGACGGCACATATTAATGAACATTAAAAATGTAAACATGTAAAGATTAAAGTCAATGTGGCTCATTTCCATCTTCAGTCCCTCAGAAGGTTTAATGTAAATTTAATGTGGAGCACAGAGGACTAATACAGGACTTGGTGGACTGGTGTCAGCAGAACCACCTCATTATCAATGCAGGGAAGACCAAGGAGATGGTGGTGGACTTCCGCAGACGTCACTCTACTGCCCCCTCAGTGAACATCAGGGAAGGGACATTGAGAGAGTGGACTCATATAAGTACCTGGGTGTTCATCTGAACAATAAACTGGACTGGACTCACAACACAGACGCACTGTACAGGAAGGGCCAGAGCAGGCTCTATCTCCTGAGGAGACTCAGGTCTTTTGGAGTGGGGGGGCCACTCCTGAAGATCTTCTATGACTCTGTGGTGGCATCAGCCATCCTGTACGGTGTGGTCTGCTGGAGCAGCAGCATCACAGAGGGAGAGGAAGAAGCTGGACAAGGTCATGAAGAAGTCCAGCTCTGTCCTGGTCTGTCCTGGTCTGTCCTCTGGACTCAGTGCAGGAGGTGGGGGACAGGAGGGTCCTGGCTGAGGTCGTCTCTGTGCTGGGTCATGAGTCTGACCTCCTGCAGGAGGCTCTGTCTGCTCTGGAGCAGCTTCACTGACACTGATTCAGCCTCGATGTGTGAAGGAGAAGTTTCACAGATCTTTCCCTCCTGCTGCTGTCAGACTGAACAACAAACACTGTTCACACATGTGTCATTCAACTATATCCATGTGCAATTATTTTTAAGTCTATTTTAAAATAATTTTTAAGCCATTATTTATTATCTGTTTTATTGTATGTTACCTTTTCCTGCTGTTCTGAAATTGCACGTTGCAACACTGGAATTTCCCCACTGTGGGACTAATAAAAGCTTATCTTATCTTATCTTAAAATCATCTATAGGACAGAAGAAAGTGCAACAATCACACACACGTACATAACACCAGCACAGTCACCGTACACACAATTCATTTCAAACAGTTCATTTAAAGTTCAAAGTGAAGAGATTAAGAGTTAAACCAAGAGTTAAACCAACAACTCCTCAATATAAAAGAAAATGTAATTTGGTTAAACTTGGAGACATATTTGATCATTGAACAAACACTTTTAAAGTTTTAGAAAATGCTGCAGTGTTTAAATTCTCATTAGTGACACACTTAACAAAACTAACGTTCTGGTCCTCGAGATGTCGAACATTCAAACTGCACAAATCTCTCTATGCAAATATTGACATCGTGAAATAGATTTTTAACAAGTAAACAAGTTCCTTCTGTTTTATTCATGATCATAACATTAGTTTTGTTCAGTGTGTCACTAATGCTGGTCTCTGTTCACCTTCTTACGTTGATAGTTGTGGATAAATTCTGTGTTTGAAGAAGTTTATATCGAGGGGATTTATCTTCATCCTCCAGCCTGACCGCTCTTTTTTTTTTATAGTGACCCGGCTTTTGGTTTTTGCAAACTTGTCCCAGAGATTATTCCAGACTTTTCTACACAGATTTTTGTCCTAAAAAGTCGGCGATCTCCCTCCATGAATTTCTTACATTTCGCGTTTTTATCGTCACTGACCGTCGCGTCGTACAGATGTTGTAGATGTTTTCTCACCAGTTTCCTCCACCTGTTGTGACCCAAAATCATCCATTTTTTTTCAACGAAGCAGATAAACCACGCCCACATAAATAACCAATCAGAGCGAAGATGTGGGAAAGCGCCGCCAAACTGTCAACCAAAGTTCTGCTCAGCTGAAGTGTCGAGAACAAACCACAAGAACTGCCCAAAAGTAACCGGATGAACAAATTGACATGGGTGCAAGAACAAAGCTCTTATGTTCTTATGAAGTATAAATAGGCCGTGAACTGTCTGAAAGTGAGTGGTTTTACTGTCTGTGTGTCTGTCTATATCTGTATCTTGTTCTGTATGTTAATAGTGTTTGGCAAAATAAGTGTTAAAACTTCATCCTAAACCCCTTCGATCTGCAGAATAATTTCAGTGATATGCATAATTTCTATGTTAAAACATTATAATATGATTAATGATTATGTTACTTGACCGAAGAAATATAAACTAACTAACTAACCCGATGGAAAACGGCTCCAGAGACAGAACGATCTGGTGCCTCCAGCTCCCACGAATTCATGTTCGTACAGATCTGATCCTTGACTGTGTGGACGCCTGAAAACGCTGATACTCTGATGTAGGTCTGTGCGCCGCCAAGTCATTCCCCGAAAAAAAACACTAAGAGGCTAGAATATCTGTCCATTCATATAAACGTGTGTCTGTGTGTACGACCTGCAGACGTATAATCTCTGAAAAGTTTCACATGAACCATCTCCAACAGAAACACAGAACAGACTCACCATCAGCAGAACACCCCTCTGTCACAGAGAGAACACTCATATTCCACTGAGTCGAGTCCTTTAGTCTGACAGAAGCTGAACCGCATCAGCGACACAAGGAAAGAGCTGTTTTTTTGAGCGATTAGTTTATGCAAATGAGTCATGTGGTTTTAAAGGTTGTATAGAGGATTTTTTAAGGGAAAAGAAATACAGCGACAGTCCTTTTTCAGTAGAAACACCTCCTCTCGCCTCTTTACTCTAGAAATCACGCTTGTCAGTGCGCGTTCAGAATTACTGTTGAAGTGACCTGTCTAGAAATAATTGAGCGATCGACACGTCAGTCGCTGGACAAGATCTCCGAGAATCACCTCAGTTTGTCTTCGCTCCTTTTCCCCTTCTCTTCTCTCAGCGACCTCAAAAACAGACTTTCTTTTGCGGTGAACCGGTCGTGGATTCTCGTCCACCATCTCAACAGACTTTGTGCGAACTGCGAGGAAGCGACAGTTTGAAAAAACCTCTAAGAACCGCTGCATAAACCACATAATCCCTGCGCGCCGACGAGTCAGTCACACTAGAAACGTGGGGACTTTGATTGACGACCTTACAGCCAATAGAAAACGAGGTAGCTTTGTTATCTATTGGCTGATGTTTATCTGGCCTCACTACGTCCACAGTTGATAGATTTTCATTCTTTTTTTTTTTGGTCATCATAATTACAAGGCTGCTGTGTCTCTGTAATGGTATTTTAAACTTTCACTGACAATTTGAAACAAAAACAAAAAATCCTCCATACAACCTTTAAGTTTCAGTTCTGTAAACAGTCTCAGAGCGACTGGTTTTACTCTAGACAGGAAACTGCTCACAACTTTATATCCTGTGGTCCGCAGACAGATCCCACTGCAATCCTTGTGATCGGCGATTTAATGTAATTGTCTGTGGTGTGCGCTTTTTGTCGCACGTTTAAAAATCGTTTAAGACTGAACAATCCTGTAGTGTGTCTCTGCTTTAACTGTGACATTGACCGTGAGTGTGTTTCTGTGTGCAGCTCTGAGGATGCTGAACGGCCCTCTGCGCTTTGAGCCCTGCTGTCTGTACGCCCCGCCCCCTCCTCCTCTGTTCCCGCCCCCTCCTCAGCTCTGGAAGCGGGGACGTCCGGTAAGACGCCCTCCACGCTCAAAAACCTCAAAAAACATCTCCACAAACTCAAACGAACTGCTCCAGCTCCTCATGTTTACACCCGCTCCTAGAAAACGTTAAAGTGAAACTAAACCCACCTTTTGTGCTACTTAAAGCTGCGTTGTGTAACTTTTCTGGTGTTTTTCTTCATTTATGTGTTATTTGCTTTGTCTGGAATGTTTCGCAGTATGGCATTAAATGTTTCTATCTTCATGGAGACCAAACCAGACCAAGTTACAGGTCAGATCTGTGGAGAGGCGACACAGCTGGGTATTTTTGAGCTATAAAACCTGCACCTGTAATTGAATAAATGTAAAGTAGAGCTGTTTAATGTCACACTGTGGAATATTTCAAACAGAGCCATGACGTCTCCATAGAAACGAGCAGGTGACGGACCGAAAAGTCACACAGTGCAGCTTTCACCGCGTTTTAATGCAGATCTGGTAAATTTTTAGCTTTCAAGTAGTTGGTGACATCACACAGGGATGCATAAGTCATGTGGAAAGGAAGGTATGTGGCCTGCGCATAAATAAAAAGTAACAGGAAGTGCACAGAAGCAGAAGCATGCTAGTTGTTGTTTTAAAACTCCGCTCTGGTTTCTAAAAGTAGTGAAAAGTGTTTAAAACTTCATCATGGTGAAAAATTGTGATGCTTTGAAGAACTTTGGACCAAACTGCAAACTGTTTCAAATGAACTAGTTTTGTTTTTTATGGTTTTAAAAACAGTCAAAATTCATTTGATATAATATTGAATGGTTTGGTACAAGAGCAGGTGAGTGTGGGAGGAGCTGCTGTCTGTCTCTGCTGCTGCTGGAGACAAGAAGAAATATAAACTGACTATGAAGAGGAGACTGGTGTGTTATAAAATATACTCGGCCAAAAAAGAAACACAAGTTTTTGTTGTTATTGTGGTGATTAAAATTTGCCCCTAACTGTACAAGTTGGAGCTGTTACTGTAATCAAAGAAGGAACAGGATCTGTGGACATCAGTCAGATTTGTTACGCTTGACTAACTCCTCACAATGGCTGACTTTAGATTTCCAGACAGCTCAGCTGTACTGCGAATCAGACAACAATACTGCATAGAAAAGCTGTCAGGAATCACTCTTAGTGGACTTTTGCATCAGAAAACCAAGTTTTGGAGCTCGGAATCCACGGTGCCGTCATGCCACGGTGGAGAGAGGTCGTGCTGTCGGTCTGCTGGGTGTGGGGATGTTTATCTGAGAAGTGACTGCAGCTCTGCATGTGCATGAGAACATATCCCGTCTGAGGACTCAGTGCACGGATACAGGAAGTACAGCAGACCGTCCATGTAGCAGCACTGGTGGAAGAACAGTTTTGTATTTGACGCCTGGTACAGTCCATGAGAAGGAGGGTCTGGGCTTGTGTTGCAGCTTGGGGCGACCATACACACTACTGAACATTTGACTGCCTTTTTTCAACATTGTTATTATATATATATATATATATATATATATATATATATATATATATATATATATATATATATATAATTATTAGGCCAAGTATATAATTTACCCTGAGAAATCTCTGTTCTTCTTTTCACTGAATAAAAATTAACCAAATGAACTGAACACTTCACATATAAACTCCAGCCTTAATGTTTGTAACAGTTTGATGTTTTGTGCAGGAGGGAGGCAGTCTGCTGGAGCCCACCATCAAGTTCCACTCTCAGGATGAGGAAGAGGAGCCTCTGAGGCCCAGAACGGGAAGTCCAGGATGTGTCCCAGGACCTCCAGGACCTCCAGGACCTCAGGGACCAGAGGTACGTCTCCATCTCTCCGTCTCACCTCTGTCTTAAACACGTGTGTAATGCATACCTTTCAGCTGAATTCTGGAGGTTCTTTCACATGAGGCCTGAACATAAACTGAGACTGAGACAAACTTGGACATGTCTCTGTGTCTTCTGTGTCTCTGTGTCTCTGTGTCTCTGTGTCTCTGTGTCTCTGTGTCTCTGTGTCTCTGTGTCTCTGTGTCTCTGTGTCTCTGTGTCTCTGTGTCTCTGTGTCTCTGTGTCTCTGTGTCTCTGTGTCTCTGTGTCTCTGTGTCTCTGTGTCTCTGTGTTTCTGTGTCTCTGTGTCTCTGTGTCTCTGTGTCTCTGTCTGCAGGTGAAGCTCTGGGGACACAGGGTCAGTTGGGAGTGTAGTGCCCTTTTTAAAACTGTAGGCTACATACTGTTCCTTTAAGACATTCAAGTGTATTTTTTTGTCAGTTAATAATTGTACCATTTTAAATTCAAATAAAATTGAAGACACAAAGCTCTCGATTTACCGTCAGTCTCTGGTCCTCCCCTCACCTCTGGTCATGAGCTCTGGGTAACGACCGAAAGGACCAGATCACGGATACAAGCAACACAAATGAGTTTCCTCTGCAGGTGTCTGGGTGCTCCCTTAGAGACAGAGTGAGGAGCTCGGAGTGGAGCCGCTGCTCCTCCACGTGGACAGGAGCAGCTGAGGGGAGGACGTCTGTTCTGATGTTTTCTGGACGTCTCCCTCAGGAGGTGTTCATGTCCCAGCGGGAGGAGACCAAGGACATGCTAGAGACAGGTGTCAACATACGGCCCGGGGGCCAGATCCGGCCCTCCAAGACCTTTAATCTGGCCCTAGGCTGATTTTCTACTAAATATTTAATTATATTTTCTATTAAATCTTGTTAATTTTCTGTGGTGTTTATCACAGCAGCGTCTCCAGGTCTCTGTACGTGGCCCCTCCCACCAGAGCAGCACAAATGAAGACTTGTCTCTTTCCAAACGTCTTAAAGGACGATCGTTTTGACTGTTGACCGTGACACCCTCATCAGAAAAATGTCCAACATGAGAAAGTGGAGCCGAGTGCAGAATTTTCCAAGAAAATTTACTTATTCCTGTTTACATACAAGTTCATGTTAAAACATTGTGTTGAAATTTAATTTTTCTTAAAGTTTCAGGTTGTTCATAATATTATAATATTATAATTAGAAAGAGTCTCAATTAAAAAAGATTTCTGTAATAGATTTGTGTTTCTCTGCACAAATATTTGAACTTATTATTATTTTGATATGACTGAGTTTTCTGATCCGGCCCTTTTGGATCAAAAGTAGGTTGGATACGGCCCCCGACCAAAATGAGTTTGACCCGTGCTAGAGGAACCATGTCTCTGGACTGGCCTGGGAACACCTCAGGGTCCCTCTGGAGGAGCTGGAGGAAGTGTCTGGGGTGAGGGAAGTCTGGGAGTCTCTGCTTAGACTGATGCTCCCACGACCCGACCCCGGATAAGTGGAAGAAAATGGTTGGATGGATCATTTCAAATTGAGTTGCTTTAAAGTTTCCTTATCACACTTTTTCTGATGGACTTTGTGTTTTGTTTCGTTCACATGTTAAACACACAAACCCTGTAGATTTAGGCTCGAGCTCTTCTCTCAGACAGAAAACTCTCTGTTCCACCTTGTGACGTCATCGTGTGGTAATTCCCGGAAGTGCTCCACTGTGTTTTTAAACTCCACACACCTTCACTAGAATCATCTGAATCATTTGAGCCCTGGAATTCCCAATTTCTAGTGAACTAAAGGTAAAAGGAGCTGTTCACTTCTTCAGCTTCCTCTTCATGACATCACAAGGTGGAACGGCGCGTATGGAGCTGTGGAGATGTAGACCGACTAATAATAAAGAGTCACTCAAACTTGAATGAAACAAAACACAACTGTGGGTCTGATTTTGAGGAGGTATATTTGCGTAATAGGATCTTTTTTCTAGAGTATGGCCTTCATTTCATTTCATCTTCACCGTCAGAACTTTGAACCGTCCCAAATTGATCCAGCGTTTCCTAAATTTACCCTTTTAACATCGACCTCCCGTGAATCCATCGATCACAGACTCATAACCGTCTCATTTTTCAGGGCGACATGGGGCTGCCGGGAATCCGCGGACCCAAAGGCGAAAAGGTACGTCCAGTTTGCGTCTTAATACATTTGTGATCCGCGTGTGTGTGTTTGTGGAGATGTGTGTGTGTGTGTGTGTGTCCTCGCTCGCTCACTCTGCCTCGTTTGTTTTCCCGCAGGGGGAGATTGGACGGCCGGGGTCAAAGGTGAGCGTCCTCTCTCTCCTCGTCCTTGGCGTAATGGCGTGCGGCGCGTCCGTCTCCGCGTTGATGTGATTTGTGTTTCTCGGAGGTCGAGCCGCGTCGGCCTCGGCGCTCGTCCTGACGTTTCTGTATCGCCGCGTCGGTTTCCTCGCGCTGACGAGCCAGGAATCTGACACGCCGCCCTCCTCTCCTCTTCTCTCTGTCCTCTCGCTCCTCTCTTTCCCTCCTCCTCTTTGTCCTCCTTTGTCCTCTCTCTCTTCTTTTCGTCTCTTTGCTCCTCGGTTTTCCCCGTCTCTCTCCTTTTGCTCCTTTCTCTCCTTTCTCCTCTCTCGTTCTCTCTTCTCTTTCCTCCTCTCTTTTCTCTTGCTCCTTTCTTGCCTTTCTTCGCTCTCTCCTCTTTTTTTCTTCCCTCATCTCTCTCCTCTCCTCTTTTCCCTCCTCCTCTCTCTCTTCTCTCTCCTCTTGCTCCTTTCTCCTCTTTTTTCTTTCTCTCCTCTTCTCTCTCCCCTTTCTCATCTCTCTCCTTTCTCTCCTCTCTCTCTCTTCTGTCTGTCCTCTCTCTCCTTTCCTCTTTCCTCTCCTCTCTCTCCTCATCTCTCCTTCTCTCTCTCCTCCTCTCTCCTCATCTCTTTCTCCTCTCCTGTCTCTCTCCTCTCTCTCCTCATCTCTTCTCTCCACTCTCTCTCTCTCTCCTCCTCTTTCTCCTTGTCTCTCTGCTCCTCTCCTCTCTTTCCTCTTTTCTCTCTCCTCGTCTCTCCACCCTGTCCCTCCTCCTCTTTCTCCTCTCTTCTCTCCTCCCTCCAATCTGTTTCTGTCTCCACTCTCTCCTTCTTTCTCTCCTCTTTTCTCTTCCCTCTCTCCACCTCCTCCTCTCTCTCTCTCCCTCCCTCTTTCCTTTCTCTTCCTTCCTCTCTGTCTCCTGGCCTCTCTCCTTTCTCTCTCTCTCTCTCTCCTCCTCTCTTTCCTCTGTCCTTTCCTAATTCCTCTCTTCTCCTTTCCTCCTCTCCCCTCTCTCTTTTGTCTCCTCCTTTCTTCTCTCTCTCGCCTCTTGCCTCCTCCCTCCTCTTTCTCTCTCCTCTCCTTTCTCTTCACCCTCCTGCTTCCTTTCCTCACTCCTCTCTCTAATCTCTCCTTTCTCTCTCTCCACTCACTTCTACTCTCTTCCTCTCACTCCTCTCTCTATCTCGTCTCTCTCCTCCCTCTTGTCTTTCTCCTTTCTCTTTCTCTCTCCTTGTTTCTTTGCTCCTCTCTCCTCCTCTCCGTCCTCTCTCTTTCCTCATCAGTCTCTTCCCTCCCTCCTCTCCTCCTCCCTCCTCTCTCTCCTTTCTCTTCGCTCTCCTCTGTTTCCTTTCCTCTCTCCAATCTCTCCTCTCTCTCTCTCCACCTCTCTTTCCTCTCTCCTTTCCTCTTTCCTTTCTCATCTCCTTTCCTCGTCTCTTCCATCTCTCTCCTCTCTCGTCTCTCCTCCTCCCGCTTCCTCATCACTCTCTCCCTCTCTCCACCTCTTTCCTCTCTCCTTTCCTCTTTCCTTTCTTATCTCCTTTCCTCGTCTCTTCCATCTCTCTCCTGTCTTTCTCTTTCTCTCTCCTTGTTTCTTTGCTCCTCTCTCCTCCTCTCCGTCCTCTCTCTTTCCTCATCACTCTCTTCCCTCCCTCCTCTCCTCCTCCTGCGTCTTCTCTCCGTTTTAATCTCACTAAGTGCTCTGGCTCTCTGTGATGGATGTCGTTCCGCCGCAGTCGGGCCGCAGGCTGTTGGCTGACTGAGATCCTGCGTTAGCGGAGACGGATCTGGATCGTGGTTTTCGTCCGTCTTCAATCTTCCGGACGTTTTCTCCCGCTGTGTCGGGTGAACGCTGCGCCCGCCCTGCACCGCCATCCGTCTCCCCGCCGCCGCCGCCACGGCCGCCGCCCCTCTCTCCGAAAAACAACACGTCTGCAGAACTCTGACCCCAGATCCAGAATACAAACTGAAAAACACAAAGAAAGACAGACAGAAAGAAAGACAGACAGAAAGACAGACAGAAAGAAAGACAGACAGAAAGACAGACAGAAAGAAAGAAAGACAGAAAGAAAGACAGAGAAAGACAGAAAGAAAGAAAGAAAGACAGAAAGACAGAAAGAAAGACAGAAAGAAAGAAAGAAAGACAGACAGAAAGAAAGACAGACAGAAAGAAAGACAGACAGAAAGAAAGACAGACAGAAAGACAGACAGAAAGAAAGAAAGAAAGAAGAAAGACAGAAAGAAGAGAAAGAAAGACAGAAAGAAAGAAAGACAGAAAGAAAGACAGACAGAAAGAAAGACAGAAAAAGACAGACAGAAAGACAGAAAGACAGAAAGAAAGACAGACAAGACAGACAGAAAGACAGAAAGAAAGACAGACAGAAAGACAGACAGAAAGACAGACAGAAAGAAAGACAGAAAGAAAGACAGACAGACAGACAGACAGACAGAACAGGAATACAAACAGAAATGCACACTTAAATACACACTTCCCCAAGACTTTACCATATTTTTTGGACTATAAGTTGCTCTGGAGTGGGGCTGTCGCAGTAACCGAAAAATGAATTGCCGCAGAGGCTCACTGCAGTGCACTTTGGGCCACAGCGATCACCACACGTGACCAACGTGACCCGACCCAGAGTCCTGCACGGGTCCATTTTTAGAGACGCGCACTCGACCAGATCTGTAAACATTCCAACCGTTACCGCCTGTGATAACCCAGGACTAACCTAGGACTAAACAGGGACTAAACCGGGACTAACCCGGGACTAACCCGGGACTAACCCGGGACTAACCCATGACTAACCCGGGACTAACCCGGGACTAACCCAGGACTGAGGAGCGCCCGTGTAGACCGTTGGGTGACTTCAGGCTGAAAGGACTGGTTCAGCTCCGCGCCGCATGGAGGTAAACGCAGCCATCACCTGATCGCGCTTTGCAGACACCCTGTTCCGCGGGCTCCCTTAAGTCCGCGGGTCCCCGACCCGGTGCAGGACTCTGACCCGACCCGGTGCAGGACTCTGACCCGACCCGGTGCAGGACTCTGGCCCGACCCGGTGCAGGACTCTGACCCGACCTGGTGCAGGTCATCGTATATCCTGCTGTTGAGCCACTATACCACACCACAGGAGAAATTCCCTAACCACAACAGCCCTACTTCAGAGTATAAGTCGCATCAGCCAAAAAATGCATAATGAAGAACAAAAAAACATATGCAAGTTGCACTTTTTGGGGGAAATTTAATTTAAAAAATCAGGGACATTTAATTTTGAAAGGCAAGTTATATTAAATACAATAGAACAGAAAACAAGAGACTGAACATGTTTTAATATGTTAACATCACATATTTCACAGTTCTTCAGATAAACTATAACATAAACAACAGAACAGAACAAGTTTAACAAACTCTCCATCTCACTCCAAATCACTAAATCCGTTCAATTCTTCATCCTCGGTGTCACTTCTGAACAACTCTCCACAACTTCGGTGTCACTGAAGTCCAGCCTTTGTCGATTCATCCAGTGACTTCAGGAAAGTTTCATGGTGCGTCCTCCCGGTTCACGTGAAGTTGTGTTCTCCATCCCCACTTTCTGCCAGTCACTCTCAAGTTTTTCACTCACTCCAAACTTTCTTTCTGTTGGGTTAGGGTTAGGATTAGGGTTTGCTCGATTACTGTTTTCTGCTGCAGATTTCACAACTTGCAGCAGGACAGAGGCTTTTCCTACAGGAGACATGAAGAAAACTGACACACAAGACTAGAGCCTCTCGCGGCTTCAGTGTGAAAATTTTTACTTACAAGTCGCAGGAAACACCCAAACCATGAAAAAAGAGCTACTTATAGTCTGAAAACTGAGGTACAAACGTGTGAATCTGAATCTTCCTGAGTTCAGATGGGCGTGATTGACAGGTGGATTAGCCAATCATGGTCCGTTTGTATCAAAACAAATATGTTGGCTTATTTGAGGTTAATAAATATCACCACGAACTGAAAGAACCAATGAGAGAAGCTGAATTTGAGGTGAGAAGTAGGACTGGGATCAGTAACAGTTCAATGAAAAATAAAGTCTAAATCAAGTGTGTGATTCTAAAAGTCTTTGTTAAATCATTTCTTGTGCAAAGTTCATCTGAAACACAAACAGTGAAAATGTCAAATGTGTCGCATAAATGAGTTTCCTTCAACTAAACAAACAACAAAACTGCAGCTGTAACTAAATAATTTAGTAAAATAAATCAAAAAATACTCTTGGTGATATATCGATACAACAGCCCACGATATCGATACTGTATGGTCACATTAAATGATACGATACATCGATATTTAGATATTTTTGCACACTCCTTATGAGAAATTTGATTTTGTTCTAAATAATGGGCAACCAAAGACTCACTGAAATAAACCGATCTGATTGGACGGCCGCGTTTGAGTTTGGCTCGAGATGCTCGATTCGTATTTAATCTATGACTGTTCTTTCCTTCTGTCGACTGTCTCAGCCAATCACGTCTCAGCCAATCACGTCTCAGCCAATCACGTCTCAGCCAATCACGTCTAAGCCAATCACGTCCCAACCAATCACGTCCCAGCCAGTCACATTTTCAGCCAGTCACGTTTTCAGCCAGTCACGTTTTCAGCCAGTCACGTCGCAGCCAATCATGTTGCAGCAAATCACGTTTTCGTCCAATCACGTCTCCGGCCAATCACGTCTCCGGCCAATCACGTCTCAGCCAATCACGTCTCGGCCAATCACGTCTCCGGCCAATCACGTCTCAGCCAATCACGTCTCCGGCCAGTCACGTCTCGGCCAATCACGTCTCGGCCAATCATGTCTTCAGCCAATCACGTCCCAGCCAGTCACATTTTCAGCCAGTCACGTTTTCAGCCAATCACGTCGCAGCCAATCATGTTGCAGCAAATCACGTTTTCGTCCAATCACGTTGCAGCCAATCACGTCTTGGCCAATCATGTCTCCGGCCAATCACGTCTCGGCCAATCATGTCTCCGGCCAATCACGTCTCGTCCAATCACGTCTCGGCCAATCACGTCTCAACCAATCACGTCTCATGTCATTCATTTAAATGCACTCTCTCTTCCTTCCAGCATCCATCCACCACAACCATCAGCTCCATCATCTTCCTCATCATGTCCACCGCAGCAGCAGAACCATCAGCCTCCTCAGCCTCTCCATCTGCTCCTCTTCACCTCCAGAGTCTTAAGTTACTGTCAGATTCTTCTTCATGAACGTTCTCCCTCTCATGTCCCTGTGGCTCACACTTTCTCCTGTCGTTTCCTCAGGGCAGGACTGGAGCTCCAGGTCTCCCGGGGAAACCAGGTCTGCCAGGTCGACCCGGTGCAGATGGACCCAAGGTTTGTTAGTTTATTTCATTATAGTGAGTCTTCCTCTTTCTGCATCTGCGTTTAATGTCAAAGAAATGCTCCATCAAACCAACAGCACGAGAACTCTGCTGGCGCCTTTCAGTTTCTCTATACAAACGTGAAAACATCTCTAACCTGAACTAATTACCTTTTGTAATTAAAGAAACATCACCACCAGAGCCTGGAGCATCCGTGTATCATCTATTCGTTCTTTTTTTCAAAATAAAACCAAAAATAAGAAAACAAAAAAAACCCAAAAAACATTTACATTATTTTCTTCATTATTCGTCTCCAAAACTAAAATGGAAAAAAAAAAAAAACCAAAAAAAAAAACAGATAATGATTTGTTTTTTCAGTTTTTGATTTTGTGTTTAAATGAAAGATGGAAAAACACGTTTAAGTGACTTAAACTGTGATGCCGAACTGAACCAGGACTGAACCAGGACTGAACCAGGACTGAACCAGGACTGAACCAGGACTGAACCAGGACTGAGTGTCGGGACCCGGCGGTGCGCCTGCGTAGACCATCGAGCGATCAGGACTGAGCCCGAGACCAAACTGGGACTGACACCAGGACGAGACCAGATCTGAGACCAGAACTGAGACCAGAACTGAGACCAGAACTGAGACCAGAACTGAGACCAGAACTGAGACCAGAACTGAGACCGAGACCAAACCGAGACTGATACCAGGATGATACTGGGACTGAGACTGGGACCAGACCGGGACCGGGACCGAGGCTTTGAGCTTCAAGTCATTTCAAGTCTTTAAACCAAAGAACCAAATACATCTTAGATTTTTGCAATTTATATGAATTTTAAATTCAAACTAAATTTTGCTTAAAAAAAACATAGTATATTTATATATGAGTATTTATAGAGAAGAAGAGTTGTAGAAATGTAAATTTTTCGTTTTTAAATGTCTTGACAAGATCTTAATGTGAATCATTGTGGTCAGAACACAAAGAATTCAGATTTAAAAGTGATTCTCCAGTCTGAGTCAAGTCCCAAGTCATTGACCTTCAAGTCCAAGTCGAGTCCCAAGTCTTAGTCCATTTTATCAAGTCAAGTCTCAAGTCCTAAAAATAGTGATTCAAGTCTGACTTGAGTCCAAATCACGAAATGGGACACTTGGACTTGGACAAACTTCATTGATCCATAAGGGAAATTATTTGGAAAGTTTGTCAAATAATTTAACATAAGATTCTTCTTCTTTCTGCTCCTTTTTATTAATTTCTTGGATGTTTAATATTAGGACACTGTTTATGTCGTTTTATACTTTATGAATGAAATAAACAAGTCAATAAAAAAGTGTGACGTCCAACAATCATATGAGACAAAAAAGTGGTCACCAGGTTTTAAGTCCAGCTATTAATGACATTAGAATTAAATCCAGTCCAAGAAATGTGTCCTATTTTAAGACGTACAGTGCGGGCAAATGAAATTAAAATGCTTTTACTTGAACCCTGTAAGTGGATTTGGAGCAGCGATGTGCAAGAGTGCAAAATCTGTGGAAACCTTATTGTTGTTACAGACGATAATGTGATTAAACGTGACTCTGGTCTCTTCTAAAGCACTCACTAATGTTCTGCTCACGAGACGCGAAGCGAACCGGTGAACACGACCCGAGCCACACGCAGCCGGGGTTTTATTTATACTCACGCTCAGAATGTTGAAAAAGTTAAAACAAGTGAAAGCAAAATGGGCACTAGAACTGTTTTAGGAGAATTGTGAGGTGAATCGATGCCACATTTTCCATCCTAAGTGAGCAGATTTGTCCAGTATTGTTTAATTCTGATCTTGTTTGTGTGTTTTTCAGGGAGAGAAGGGCGACCCGGGGCTGATGGGGCTCCCCGGACTGCGAGGACCCCCTGGGAATAAGGTCAGTCACGTCGCACACGCACTAACGCACGAGTGAAACCATTGACCATTTTCGTTTGAAATCTGATCCGGGCTGTTTGTGTTTCAGGGTTTGCCCGGATACAAAGGAGATAAGGTGAGAACTTTACCTTTTTACTTTTCACGTGTTTCAACGTTTGTGTGAGAAACCAACAAAGCGAAATCCTGATCCGTCGCTCAACCTCGGTTACGAATTTAAAAAGTCAAAGTCAAAGCGAAAGGCACCAACTGTTCACCAAGAAACACCTTCCACTGCAAAGAGACCAAGACGTGATGTTGCTGTAAAACCACAAGAACAAGAAAGTGCAGCTCAGTCTGTTTGTCTTCTGCTCCTCTTCTTTAACAAACAGGATTTTGTTTTGTTGTCGCTCCACATACAAAATGTTCTCTGCAAACTCGGGATGATTTTTTAGGCAGACAAATGTTTTCTTTTTGGTTCTTCCTGTGGATCAGTCCTGCCCATCACCTTCACCTTTTACTATTTTTCAATTCCACTGTTGGGCAAGTGACTTTAAAACTGTAATGTGTTATTTATTTATATAAGTAATTTGTTACATTACAATATTACTGTATTTAAAATGTAAAACATTACACAACTATTGCATTACTATTAAGTTACCAGGACTAAACCAGGTCTAAACCAGAACTAAACCAGGACTAAACCAGGAAAACCAGGTCTAAACCAGGACTAAACCAGGACTAAACCAGGTCTAAACCAGGACTAAACCAGGACTAAACCAGGACTAAACCAGGTCTAAACCAGGTCTAAACCAGGTCTAAACCAGGACCAGGTCTAAACCAGGACTGAAACCAGGAGCTAAACCAGGACTAAACCAGGTCTAAACCAGGAAAACCAGGACTAAACCAGGACTAAACCAGGACTAAACCAGGTAAACCAGGACTAAACACCAGGACTAAACCAGGACTAAACCAGGACTAAACCAGGACCAAAACCAGGACCAAAACCAGGTCTAAAACCAGGTCTAAACCAGGTCTAAACCAGGTCTAAACCAGGTCTAAACCAGGTCTAAACCAGGACTAAACCAGGTCTAAACCAGGTCTAAACCAGGACTAAACCAGGACTAAACCAGGACTAAACCAGGACCAGACCAGGACCAGACCAGGACCAGACCAGGACTAAACCAGGTCTAAACCAGGTCTAAACCAGGACTAAACCAGGTTTAAACCAGGATTACACCAGGACTACACCAGGACTACACCAGGACTAAACCAGGACTAATGTTGGACTAGAACTTGGAGAACCACGAGAGCGATCGGGCGTCAGCTGCGTTTAGCTCCGTGGAGCGTGGAGTTTTGCGTCGGTTCTTTCGCTCGAGATCGCGGTCTACGCGGGCGAGTCTCCGGCGTTTCAACGCTGCTGATATCGCCGTGATTTTAACGAACTTGTATGAAGAAAAACGAAAATCCCACCACTTCAATCCAGGTTAAAAAAAAGATTGTGACACGTGTTACTCACATTTGTACCGAGTAAAATATTACCACTTTTTTCCCTGTAACGCCACATTACTGCGTTACAGCAAAAAGCAACACATTACAGTAATTTGTTTGTTTTATAACACTGTTCAGTTCCGTTGGGAAGAGAAACAGTTTGAACGGAGGTTTGCAGTCACACACATCTGATTCTCTTTTGCTGTTATGGAGTTCATAAACTTCTGAAGCCCGTTTCTCGAGCCGTTTTCCACTGTTAGGATCCAACAACCACACAATTACGATGTCCAAATCCCAAAACTAAAATATGACAATATCAGAACCAGAAACAAAAGTGAAATGGTTCAAAAGACTTAAAAAGATCGACTTTGACAATAAACAAACATGGCGGTTTGATTCTCACTTTTTCGGAGGATGTACCGTATTTTCCGCACTATAGGACACTCTGGATTATAAGACGCACTGTCATTAAATGGTCTATTTTCGAACTTTTTTCACAAATAAACGGCGTGGGACTTTAAAGGAAACCCAACAGTGTGATGGGTGAGTGGTTTTGTTTGTTTGTTCGTTCACGGTGACTCTGGGCTTTGTTCAGTTGTGGCGTGTAGGGAGGGTGCTGTCTGGGACCAACGGATTGTCGGCGTGTTCGCAGTGACTCGGTTGTTCAGTCGTGTCTAGAAGCGGCACGTCGCGCTCGTGGCTTTTTCGGTTCGTTCCTCCGTTCCGTTCCTCGTCGGCGTGGAGTGATGAGTGTGTCTGTGGGTGTGTTTCGCTGTGCGGTCGCTGTCTGCTCCGTGTGTGTTTGCGTGTTCTGCGGGTGGTGCGGCTTTGTAGTTTGCAAAAGTCGTACAGGGACACCCGAGTGGATTCGTGTACGGGGCGCTCTGGATTGTGGGGCGTGCGGTCGTTTTTTGATGGGGCTGGAGGCTTACAGGTTGTATAGAGGATTTTTTTTAAGGGAAGTGAAATACAGCGACAGTTCTTTTTTAAATGTTGTACATGCGTGACACCACCTTCCTCCTCCACAGCTCCTCAGAAGAAACATCTCCTTCCGCCTCTTTACTCTAGAAATCAGGCTTCTTTACATCCAGTGTGTGTTCAGAATTACTGTTGAAGTTTCCTGTCCAGAAATGTTTTAGCGACCGACGCGTCAGTTTTTAGTCCCTTCGTCTGCTTCAGTCGCGCCATCGCTGGAAGGAATCTCCAAGAATCACCTCAGTTCGGCTTTGCTCCTTTTCCCCTTCTCTGCTTCTTTCCGCGACCTCAAAAACGGACTTTTCTTTTGCGGCGAACAGGTCGTGGATTCACACCCTCCATCTCAACAAACTTTGTGCGAACTGCGAGGAAGCGACAGTTTGAAAAATCCTCTAAGAACCGCTGCATAAACCACATAATCCCCGCACGCCGGCGAGTCAATTACACTAGAAACGTAGGGAGTTTGATTGACAACCTAACAGCCAATAGATAAATAGAGAACCTCGTTATCTATTGGCTGATGTTTATCTGGCCTCGCAACTACGTCCACAGTTGATAGATTTTCATTCTTTTTTTTTTTTTTTTTGGTCATCATAATTACAAGGCTGCTGCGTCTCTGTAATGGTATTTTAAACTTTCATTGACAATTTGAAACTAAAAAAAAAAATCCTCCATACAACCTTTAAGTGCAAAAAATACAGTCCGTGGAGGATAAATGACTTAAATTTTCTTAAACTCAGCTTTGTCCCTCCTGCTCTGCTCTGACTGCTCTTTCTCTGTGTGTTCTGTGTGTTTTGTCTAAACCGTGTTGTGTTTCAGGGAGCTCAGGGAGATCCGGGAACAGCGGGCACAAAGGGCGACAAGGTAAGATTCTGATGAGGTGGACCCGAGCATAAACCACCTGGGCCTGGTCTTCTAATGTAGTTTCCTCTTCACAAACACAAACACACCAGGAGTTGTGTTTTGTTTCATTCACACATGTTTAACACACAAACCCTGCAGATTGTATGTAGTAATACAAGAAGTGCTCCACTGTGTTTTTTAGCTCCACACACTTTCACTTGAATCATTTGGATCATTTCAGCTCTACAGAACTAAAGGTAACTGCTAGTTGTTCACATGAAAACTATCACTTCATGACCTCACAAGGTGGAACAGAGCATTTTGAGCTTTGGAGATGTAGACAGATTAATAATAAAGAGTCACTCAAGCATGTGACTGAAACAAAACACAACTTCAGGTCTGATTTTGAGGAGGAAACGACATTATAACAAGAATCATTTTGTGTAATATAGGTACCAGAGCAAAAAGATATAGAAGTAAAAGTAAACGTATCACATGAAAAAAAATGCTTAAGTAAAAGTTTTAAAATACCTGTTTAAAAATACTTAAACTCTGCATGAAATACTTTTACTTTTTACTGTTTGAGGTCTAATAAAACCTCAGATGTAGTGCTTGTGCTGAGTTTTGAATCAGTTGAATCAGTAGTTTTTTCCCCATCTGTTTTTTTTTTTTAATTATTATTTATTTATTTATTGTATATTTACGTTTGTTCAAACTATGAGCATGTAAAAAATAAAGACTTTTCAGCAGGTCTCTATATATTACTATATAACTGTAATAAAAATACTTTTACTTTTCAGTCCTGTTCAGAGATGTAGTGTAATAGAAAGTACAGATACCTGCTCTCAGATGTACTGAAGTAAAAGTAAAGAAGTATTTTGAAATCTACTTAAAGGTGGACTAAGTAACTTTTCTTACTCTGCCTTTAATGTTCCACAGTGTGACATTAAACAGCTCTACTTTACATTTATTCAATTACAGGTGATTTTATAGCTCAAAAATAGCCAGAAAAACATGTATTCTGACTGAGCGGGGTCGCCACTCCACAGATCTGACCTGGAACTTGGTCTGGTTTGGTCTCTATGAAGATAGAAAGGTTTAATGCCATACTGTGGAATATTCCAGACAATAAACCAATAACATCTCCATGGGGAAAAGCATTTGATGGACCCCCCCCACCTAAAAAATACTGATACCACATGTTTTACTTCAGTGCAGTACTTTACTTTAATACGTTGTTCTCTTCCATCTGTGGTCCTGTCTGATGTGGTCCTGGTCCTGATCCTTGTCCTGATCCTGGTCCTGGTCCTGATCCTGATCCTGATCCTGATCCTGATCCGGGTCCCGGTCCTGGTCCTGGTCCTGGTGTGTGCAGGGCTCCATCGGTCTGCCCGGGATGCTCGGACAGAAGGTGAGCTCGTGTCTCTGTTCTGTTTTCGTCTCAGGATGTTGAGTTTGTTTTTGTTTCATGTGTTTTTTTTGTTTCACAGGGAGAACAGGGACCAAAGGGAGAGCAGGGCGTCCCCGGAAAGAGAGGCCCCACAGGACGACCCGGAAAACGAGGAAAACAGGTCAAGAACAAGAGCATCTGCACTGGTCATAGACTGTACATGCAGAGGGACAGAGCTAAACCACTGGTCTCTACAGGAAGTGAACATGGGGGCGCTTCAGGCTCCATCGACTCTGGCTTCAATTCATTTTACACTGAACAAATGTAACCCCCTCTTTCTCTGCACCTCCTGCTGTGAGCCTCAGTATTTTGATCTTAAAAATTTTTACATTAACCTGCTCTACATGATCCTGGTGTTTTTATTTTGCTATTTTGTCCATAAATAAATTCCTATTCAGTTCAAATTCAGTCTTATAACTGCCGACCTCAGTGAGCTTCATTTGACTGGACTTCACACTCGCTCAGTCCTCTTCTTTCTACACTCTGAGTCCGTGTGTGTGCAGGAAAAAGTTTATTATTCTGTTACGTGAGTTTTAACCATGGTCACTGTGTGCAGGGGTTTAAGGGGCAGCCGGGCTCCGCAGGAACCATGGGCCCCCCAGGACCCCCCGGGCCCAATGGACACCCCGGACCCCCAGGGCCCCCAGCCTCAGGTCAGACATCTCTACTCACACTACACTTTAAACTTTACACACTATACTTTACACTTTACACCTAAAATGTTTTTTGTGAATTTATGCATTACACTTTATGCATTACACATAACACTTTATACCAGGGGTGTCCAAACTTTTTTCATCAAGGGCCACATATCTAAACACAGATGAAGCAGAGGTCTGATCGAGGGCCACAGACTGGAGCTCAATACAGTGAATAATTGAAATATGTGCAAGTTTATCACATTAGAATGAGCTATCAGTCTTTATTCATGCCAAGATCCTTAAAACCACACACTACGTTTTAAATATTTGCTTTATCAAGGTAGATTTTCAACAAACTTGCAGTAAAAAGTAAATTTTTAATTGATGCAAGTTCATTTGGGCCAATTCACCTGGAAGCCTCAGGTCCAAGAAAAATTTGACTGAGGGCCACATTTGGCCCACGGGCCGTAGTTTGGACATGCCTGCTTTACACTTTAAACTTTACAATTTACACACTACACTTTACACGTTACACTTTACATCTGTGTACAGACCAGACTCAGACTGAAGTGAGTTCTACACGTTTATCAAAGTGGAACGACTCTCAATCAAAACCTTATCATGAATTTTAGAATATCTATGTCTATTCTGATTGGTCGAAGCATCACAACAGTAAAACAAAGCGAGAATTCATCTGCTGGCAAGGTTACTGCATCTAACCTCCAGGAAATACTAAGACTCTGTTTTTTATTAAAAGCTCAAAAACCCAAAATAGACAATAGATTTCCTTTAATCTACATTTTCTGTTGTTTTTTCCTGTTCTCAATTGAATTTTTCATCCAAACACACAAACCATGAAACATGAAAACAGATCTAGTTCATTTTAAACAGTTTACACTGGTCCAGAGTTTTTCCTCACTGACCTTCTGCATTCAGATCATTATTGTTCCTCATTATTCACCACAATGAGTTTAGTAGAGATTTCAGACAATTTCTAGACCAGATAAGTTTGTGTCAATGTAATGTGAACAACAATATGCATGCTTACAGCGCACTTCCTGATTCTCAGACATTAAATCCCTTTATAATCAGCTGCAGACAGCACACAGCCGTCTCATTTCCACCTTTAGAGCTGCTCTCAGGATACTGTCCCTCAGGAGTCTTGTGTTGTCTCTGGACTCTTTCAGGTCTGTACCTCGTCGGCGAAAAGGGAGAGAAGGGTCTCCCCGGACCCCCCGGCCGCTGCCAGTGCGACCCCCCTCCCACGGTGAACAGCGCCCCCCTTGGCAACTACAGGCTCCACGACAGCTCCAGCAAAGTGCCCGCTGTAAGACTACCCACTCACTCATGTTTAAAGGACACAAAATGGACTTTTACCCATGTTATGACAGTGTTCCCTCCTCAAGCACAAACCTCAAGTTGTATTTTGCTTTATTCGCTTGTTTCCTGAATCATGTTCTCCTTGTCCTGTCGCTCTGAGCGCTCACAAAACACTTGATTTCAATTTTTTCTCATTTTTAAAGATTGTTATGTCACAGATAAAAGTCCAGAGATCTCCTCTTAACTCCTCTTAAGTCCTTAACTCAAAAGTTGAACATTGGTACAGTCAAATGTCGTTACCACTTTGTGTTTGTGTTGGAAAAATGCTGCTAACCCTTGTGTGTAAAATCCCTCAGTCGTCCAGGTAGAATCCACGGCAAAGGAGAAAATCAATTTGTGAACTGGACAAAGTTTATTTTGGTCAAAAATGTTTCGCAGCTCGTCCAAGCTGCTGCTCAGAACCGAAGAAGCAACTTGGACCAAAATAAACTTTGTCCAGTTCACAAATTGAATTCTTCCTTTGCCGTTGCCAACCCTTAATATTTCGGTGGTGACTCGCTCTGCAGCAAGGAGACAGAAAACAGACCCAAGATCCCAGAATCTTTAGACACTGTGGGAACCAGGAGTCTAAAGACAAAAGCCAATATTTTAAGTTCTCAAACATGAGATGCCAAAGCAAAGAGCATTTTTAAAGACAAATTAAAATCAAATTAATGCATTATATCGGTTATTTAAACTACTGTATGTATAATTGGAATTTATCACACAGAAGGAACAAAAACTCTGTAAACACACTCACATACTCATGTTATGGGGACCTGCCTCGATTATGGGGACAAAACCAGGTCCCTGAGACATAAATCCTTTGTTATTAAACCAACAACATGATTTAAAATTCAGATTATGTTAAAATAAATTAAGTTTAGGGTTTGGGTTAAGTTTAAGCAAATGGTGATCATGGTTGAACGTCAGGATTTGTCTCCGGGAAATGAATGGAAGCCAATTTAATGTCTCTAAAAAAGCTTGAAAACCCAATGTGTGTGTGTTTGTGTTTGTGTGTTTGTGTTTGTGTGTGTATCCAGCAGATCTTTGTGGTGAACTCTGAAGAGGAGATGAGGCGTCTCCAGGGGGACAACGCGATCGCCGTCAGGAAGGACCAGAGGACGCTGTACTTCAAAGACAAAGACGGATGGAAACCGCTACAGGTCACAATCTCACATTTCATTTTGTTGCATAGAAATGTTGTTCCTTTGGCTCTAATCTTCCACAGTATGATATAAAACTTAACTACCGTATTTTCCGCACTATAGGCGAGTTTCTTTGTTGACAAAAGCGTGCGTTGCATGCTGGGAATTATTTTGGTCGGCGGCAAGAAACACTAATTCAACATGATGGACGGAGCGAGAAAGCACGTAAAGGGTATTGATCCCGGTTATTTATCCACTCTAACGGCAGAGGACCCAAGACCATGTGACCAGAAATTGGTCATAAGCATCGACGGACGACAAATCACCCTTTTCAACCCTGACAGAGCCTGGACCAAACCGAATTTCTGGTCAGAATCTCCAACTACCTGGACAAATATTCACTTTGGCGATATCCACAATGACTTGGTGGAAACTCCTGGGTTGTTCACAGCAGAAAAGATGAAAACCTCCAAGAGTCTCGATGTGTTGTTGAATGTGTTGGAGTCCACGGTTTGTTAGGATCTTCTACGTTTCCTCTGCGGATGTTTGAAAGCCGTTTAATTCACTGTTAGTGGTTCTTTTCACTCGGAATTTACCATTATCGGGGAGAAATACGCGAGGTTGCGCACTGTGTTTGACGCTATCGTGTTTCTTGCCTCTCCCAGCATGCAACGCGGGCTTTTAATAACAATGACGTCAGCTGAAACTTGCCTATAGGGCGCACTTAAAAGTTTTTAATTTCATCAAAAAACTAGTGTGCGCCTTATAATCCAGAGCGTTTTATATATGAATTTATTGTTGTGTCTTAGTACGACTTTAGTAAACTACAAAGCCGCACCACTTGCAGCATTACGGCTCCCGTAGTCAGGAGCATCAGGAGTAATACAAACTGTGATTCCTTTTAATATCAAAATGCACCTGTCAAGAGACACGCTCACAACGCCCACTTTAAACTCAAGGCTGTTCTAAAGTGAAAGTGCGTTTAGCTGCGTGGGAGCAGTGGATGAGAGAAGGAGAACACACATTCACCAAGACAGGGTACGGAAGCCGAGAGATGTCACAACAAACGCAAACGCCGCAACAAATACAAATGCGACAACACAACAAAAAGCCACAACAAACCAAAAAAAGCCACAACGGAAATGACCACAGGACTCTATTTTCTGATGGACCGATCAAGCGGCAAGTGAAGAAGAAGAACTACAACGTGAAATGAATAATGATAAAACAATAAATTACTTTTACTTACGTTTCCAACTTCTCTGTTCCTTTACTTTTCACGTTGTTGTTCTTCTGCTTCACTTGCCGCTTGATCGGTCCGTCGGAAAACAGAGTCCCGCGGTCACTTCCGTTGTGGCTTTTTTGGTGTGTTGTGGCTTTTTGTTGTCTTGTCGCATTTGTATTTGTTGCAGCGTTTGCGTTTGTTGTGAGCCCTCTCGGCTTCCGTAACAGAGACATCGCCGAGCCACTTACGCCACGATCTGCCGACTGATCGTGGACGCCCGGGCGAAGGATCAGTATCAACTGTGGTCCGAGCTTTCACCAAGACCAGAATCATCACTGAACTGAACTCCAGGGAACAGGAACCCCACTGACTCGGATCATGACGAGAGGGATGTGGACGTGTGGACGCCGGAATCACCCAACTGTTTCAACTATTATGATTTATTGTGAATACGAGAACAATTTAGCGTCTCAGACAGGATTTATTTACACATTACAATTGAACAAAGTTGAGAGTTATTGTGAACACGTTAAATGAAGTTTGACTGACTTATCGAACTATTGTGTTTAGTTTAATGCTCCTTATAGTCCGGTGCAGTTTATATGTGAAAAAAGTAAAAAAAATAGACCATTTAATGACAGAGCGCCTTATAATCCAGAGCCCCCATAGTGCAGAAAATACAGTATCTTCATGGAGAATGTTCCAGATTATGGCTTTAACTTTGCAGCTGACTTTTCACCTCTGGATAGTTACACAAATCTGGTATTTTCAAAGGACAGACATAAAACTAAAGTAGGAGTCAAAGCATCCTGATAAAAACGAACTCTGAAAATTGCTTTAAAAAGTTACGCACTGCCCTCGTTTGATGATAGTTTAACAGTAGTGGACTTGTGTGTGTTATATGTGTGTGTTATGTGTGTGTTCTCTGTGTGTGTGTGCAGCCGTTCCAGTCCTTCCAGTCGACGGAGAAGAGCCCCGAGCGTGTGGGGGCCTGTGGGGACGGGAAGGTGCAGCCTCAGCACGGGGAGGAGTGTGACGACGGAAACCAGCAGGTCAACGACGCCTGCCTCAGTGAGTCTCTCTGGTTTTTACACCAAAGGTCCAGACTGAGGGGAAGATTATTATTATTATTTTTTAATTTTTAGGGGTGGGACTTGATAAAAAAAAAAAATGGAATTAATTACAGGCTTTGTAATGAATTCATCTCAGTTAATCGCAAAACAATGTTTGCCCCAAAAGCAACATTTATGACTTTTAGTGGACGACTTCATCTCACAGACATTTTTAAACTCGTGCTTTTCATTTCAAAATAGTCGACAAAGGTAAAGTCCCTGTCCAAAACTGAAGAGACTAAAGTTAAAGTGCCATTTTACTTTAAGTTGTTTCCTCTTGTACTTTAACTTTTTTTTAACTTTAAGTTGTTTCCTCGTCTCTGCACAATTCGCAATAAACTATGCCTTTCTCAATACTTTCATCAGGTCATTTACCGTCTAGCAGATCCAGAACACTTTCATGCTCCACTGTTTAATGCAGCTTTGACACATTTGTTTACGTTTTATTGAAATGAAACTTAAAACCACATTGTTCATTTGCGTTTGCCCACTTTATTTATGTTGGTCACTTTATTTATTTTTGCTCCTGCTGTGATGAAAAGACAGAAAAGTGTTTGTCTTTCGGACGCATCTGACTCAGCTTTATGTTGCAGTAACCTGGACACTGCGTTTACATGCACCATGACAAAACCTGGATACTCAAAAGTAGGGGTGGGCGATATATCGATATTTTAAATATATCGAGATAGTTTTTAAACTCGATATGAATTCTGACATATCGTATATATCGATATAATGCTTATATTCAATTTAGATTTCGCCGCTTCGCTTGTTTACCTTCTCTCTCGTCGCCTCCGCGCGCCTCCACCTCCCTGATGTTGTTCGCTCGTGTCTCCTTCACTCCTCACTACCACCGAAAGCCGAAAGTTGGTGCCAGTGAAAAGCTTCAAGCACCACGAACCTTTTCCACCATTTACAGACAAAACCATCAGCAGCACATCCTCATGTTCGACTGAGTCGCGTCTTTTAGCCCGAAAGAAGTTAAACAAGCTGAGCTGCATGAGAAGTTTGCTGTTTATGCAAATGAGCCATGTGCTTAAGTTTCGTTTCTGTAAAATGTAAACACACCTGCGCAAAACTGTATTAAACACATTATTATCTCAAACGGGCTGATGTGGCTCTAGAGTCGTTATGCTTTATATATTGTAAAGTTTAGTAATGTAAAGTTTATTTATGCAGAATATTTAAATTAATAATCTGCTGCAGTGTCACTTGTACAATAGTGTTTGGAAACGTTGGGTTTGATCTGCAGTGGATTGTGGGATTAAACCTCAGATCCTGACGCTGGTGAGGAACATGGATCTGTTAAAATAAAGAACATCCTGAATTTCTTCTGCTAAAGGAGCTCATGGTTCTGGTCTGGATAACAGAGTTAATGCAAAGATGAACTTGTGTTGAGTTGTTTTATTTATGAATGAAAAGAAGGAAATATGTTTTATTTCTTTTATTTTACAGTTAAATTATTATTTATGTAATTAGGGTTTTTTGTAATCTTAAATGTTCCTATATAAACTGTCGACCTCTTACACTTCAATTAAAAAAAAAAAGACCTTATGGAATTTGGCATATTTGTTTTTGCAGTTTTAATTTTTAGTTGGTTAACATATCGAGATATATATCGTATATCGAGATATAGCAAAATATATCGAGATATATTTTTTGATCCATATCGCCCAGCCCTACTCAAAAACCAGCTCATCCTGACACTGATGTGCTGTAAACACACTCACCGACTCACTCCAGTGTTTGTGTCGGACGCTGCGTTGTCTCCCCACACTACACACAGACACCTACATTTTTAATCAACAAACTGAATGTAAGTGATCGACGAACTGCTTAACCATCAATTATCGATTAGGCAAAGCAAGTTTATTTGTACAGCACAAATTCGTACACAAAGTAATTCATTCAAAGTGTTTTACGGAATAAGAAATACATTAAAATCACAATAAAAACAAATGACAACATAAATAATCATCACAAAATTAAAAAAAGAGAGACAGACATTAATTACATAAATTAGAGAGAAGAGTCGACTAATCATCCCCGTCCCTAGTCAGACATGGACTTTGGTGCTCGGCCGTGGAGAGACTTGTACAAGCAGAGCCTCTTTAAAGGAGATCAGGGAAAGTCGGCAGATCTGTGTCCCTTTTCCGTGTCCTGCAGCATCACAGCAGCCAGCAGGGGGCGCCAGGAGAACTTTATAGACAGGAAAGCCTCTTCTAAGCCTCACTGTCTCTCCGCTCTGTTGTTTCAAGTATCAGGATTTCTTCTGGAAGATCTTTTGCCACATTTGGTGTAAAAAAACAAAAAAAAACAAAAAAAACCTGCAGCATCTCAGAGCACAGGTCGAAAAGTGACGCAGGGAAGAAAGACTCTCACAGATGACCCACTCTCAGCCCAAAACGTAACTTTGCAGCTCTAATGGTTCTTTTTCTTCCAGTCGGTCATTAGTGGAACAAAAGCAAATTCCTGTAAAGTATAAATTAGAGTAATGTAGTCTGGGCTGCCTCTCTCTCCTCCAGGCCCCTCCCTCTGACACTGTGTAATTCCATTAAACACAAACTGCTGCGTTGGCTCCCGCTGTGCCAGAGCCATCACTAATCTGCACCTCTCCTTCTCTCCATCCTTTACCCTTTCCTCCACACCTCCCTCCCTCTCTCTTTCTCTCTGCAGACTGTAAATGGGCGTACTGTGGAGACGGGTACAGGCACGAGGGCATGGAGGAGTGCGACGGGAAGGACTTCGGATACCAGACCTGCAAGTCCTACCTGCCCGGGTAAATAATAATACAAAATAATATTATTACTCAAGTCGAAGTACAAAGTAGTGGTGCATACTAGGGCCCGAGATTTAGGCCGATAGTCGATATGAGCATTTGGAGACATATCAGCTATTGGTCTAAATGTTGCCGATCTGGGCCGGTAAGAAACCCTGGTATCATGTCAAAAAAAAATCCATATTGGTCGGGCTCTATTACGTTATAATTACAGTTTTCAGCTGCAGATTTCACGACTTGCAGTTTGTAATCTGCAAAATCTGATTTTGTTTCTGGGGGCATTAGTGTTCAGTCTTCTCAGTCTTTGTCTTTATAAATTAGTTTAAATGTTAAATTGTTCAGTGGTGCAGAAGTAACGGTGCGATCGACTGACATGATACAGACAGGACAGAGGCTCTTTCTGCAGGAGACATGCGCAGTAGAGCCAAGTGACAGTGGTACAGGAGGAACAGGAGCAGCAGATACTCACACACAAGGCAAGGCATGTTTATTTGTACAGCACAATTCGTACACAAAGTAATTCAAAGTGCTTTACAGAATAAGAAATACACCAGAATCACAACAAAAACAAATCCAAACACAAATAATCATGAAGATTAAAATTAAAAAAGAGAGACATAAATTGGAGAGAAGAGTGCGGAATGAAAACCTTTCAGTTATTTGCACAGTTAAACAGAAATGTTTTGAGCCTGGATTTAAACAGCGTCACAGAAGAGTCTGTCTCACATGTTCAGACTGTTCCAGGTTTTAGCTGCATGAACCTGAAACTCTGACTCCCCTTGTTTAGTCGTGACTCTGGGCATCAGCAGGAGTTGGTCCCTGAGCTCCTCAGAGTGTGAGATGTTCATATGACACTAACATGTCACAGATAGACTTTGGTGCTCGATGGTGGAGAGACTTGTACAAACAGAGCTGCTTTAAAGTCTCTGAGGCACAGGAGCCAGTGCAGAGACCTGAGCACAGGACTTATGTGCTCGTACTTCCTAGTTCGAGTCAGGACCTGAGCTGCAGCGTTCTGGATGTTCTGGATGTTCTGGATGTTCTGCAGCGTCTCACAGCTCGTTTGGAGAGACCAGTGAGCAGAACATTACAGTATCTAACCTACTGGAGACAAACACATGGATAAGTTTCTCCAAGTCTGATTTAGACAGTAAACCTTTGATTTTTGTGATGTTTTTTAGATGGTGAAAGGCTGCGGATGTTATTGATTTGATGTGGCTTTTAAAGTTCAAGTCTGAGTCCATTATTACCCCGAGATTTCTTGCCTGATTTGAAGGTTTTAGAGAGAGAGACTGGAGGTGACTGCTGACACTGCTGACACACAAGACTAGAGCCTCTCCACACTTCACTCAAGCAGTTTAATATAGAAGTCACACCTGAGAATAAGTCACAGGAAACACTGAACCATGAAAGAAAGTGCCACTTATAGTCCAAACAAGCTCAATCAGAGATATCAACCTGGTCCCCATGAGGCGTTGGTGGGTCAGTTCATCACCACAGAAGCAGTTTATGAGGAGCCCAGTCCATTTCACATGATCATTATATCCACAATGTAATGTGTGTATGTGTACAGACCCATGAACATTTGTGTGATATTGGTCACACATGAGAATGTCTGTGTTCTGTATGTGTTAGTTGTGTGACTGTAGATCAGTGTGTTGTGTGTCACCAGAAAAACAAAAAATGGAAATAATTTTTGTTCCAATTAGAATTTTAACTACATAAACTGAAAGAGAAAGGAACTGTTAGAATTAGTGATTATGTCAAAAACTAGAGGTGTGCAAAAATATCAAAATATCGATATATTGAATCGTTTCATGTGATGATACAGTATCGATATCGTGGGCTGCTGTATCGATATATTGCCAAGAGTATTTTTTTTGGTATATTTTACTTAGTTTATTTATTTTGTTCCAGCTACAGTTTTGTTGCTTTTTTAGTTGAAGGAAACTCGTTTATGCGACGCATTTGACATTTTCACTGTTTTGACGATTAAAATGTTTCATATTCACTTTGCAGAAGAAGTGTTTTAACAAAGACTTTTATTATCAGTCATAAATAAGTCTTTATTTTTTAGTGAATCGTATCAAATCAATTTGAAATATATCGTATCGAATCGACAGTGCACTGTATCGAGATATGTATCGTATCGTAGCCTGTGTATCGAGGTATGAATTGCATCGGCAACTTCTCAATGATACCCAGCCCTATCAAAAACTATTACTATTTGACTATACAAATGCATAGAATTATAAATAGATCATCATTTTTGTGAGATTTTGAGACACTCCCGTTGCTCAAGCTCGATCCTTTGCGGAGTTATGACCAAAAACGTATTTGACCTTGGTAACTTTGACCTTCAAGTGACCTTGACCGGTTTCAACCTGTAACATCCAGTGTGCCCCGGTTATGTGTGTGCCAACTTGTGTGATGATTGGGTGAATATTTTAAAGGTTGTATGGAGGATTTTTTTTTGTTTCAAATTGTCAATGATAGATTATAGATGCAGTAGCCTTGTAATTATGATGACCAAAAAAGAAGAAAAAAAAAAATTCATCAACTCTGGACGTGGTGGGGCTAAACATTTGCCAATAGATAACGACACTGCCTCGTTATCTGTGAGCTGACAGGCTGTCAATCAAACTCCCTACGTTTCTAGTGTAACTGACTTGTCTGCGCGCCGCCGGTACGTGGTTTACGTACGACTGTCACACAGTCCACAGACACAAGACGCACAGACGCTGTTTACTCCACCAACGCAACAGTTCTTAGCGGCTTTTTTTTACCTATATCTTCCTCGCAGTTCGTTTGTTGCAATGGCGACAAGAATCCAGGAGCAGTTCGCCGCAAAAGAAAGTCCGTTTTTGAGGTCGCTGAAAGAAGAAGACAAGGGGAAAAGCAGCGAAGCCAAACTAAGGTGATTCTTGAAGATTCATTCCAGCGATGGCGCGACTGAAGCAGACGCAGGGTCTAAAGACTGACGCACTGGTCGCCAAATTACTCCTGGACAGGAAACTTCTGCTTATTATGAAAACATACTTTATTTCCAAGAGCGAGACAAACGTTTTTCAGGACACGAAAGTGATATCCTATGTCTGAAAACGTAATTTTCAATGCAAAGAAAGAGTCCACTTGCTGCTGCGTGTTGTAGTTAGTTCATTCGCACAGAATCTCCGCGCAACCTTCTCTGCTCCCCTTTCCTGCTCCTCTCCCCGCTGCCCGATCCGCTCTTCCCCCTGCTCCTCACTTCTCCGGGCACTGAATCTCCGCGTACCGCTCCCCTCTCCTCTCCTCTCCCTGCTCCGCTCTTCTCCCTGCTCCTCACTTCTCGTCCGCGCACGAAATGTCCGCGCACCCGCTCCCCCCGCTCCTCACTTCTCCGTCTTGCCTAACCAACACTGTAGTTAGTTGTTTACAAGTCATGTGCAGCTCACCGGCTGTAAACAAACCTGTTTCTGGCGTAAGGAGGAGTCGGGAGGAGGTGTTTCTACGTAGGAGCTGTGGGGGAGTTGAACCACATCAGCGACACAAGAGCTGGAGTTTTATCTTCGCTTAGTTTATGCAAATTAGTGATGCGGCTTTAAGTTTTGTTTCTGTGAGATTTGAACAAAACTGAATTAAACACATTATAATGTCAAACAGCTGATGTGGCTCTAGAGTCATTATGTTTATATGTCGTAAAGTTGAATTTATTTATGCAGATTAGTAGAGCAGATAGTAATAATAATGATGATCATTTTAATATAAAAACGTTAATGATTAATCGATAATCGATCGTTAATTCTTCCTACGATCGATTAAGAAAATTTCATCGAATGCCCGTCCCTAACCTGGACACACACACAGACACAGAGGGTGAAGTCAAAACTTGGTCAAACCTTCGGGGACCAGGTAAAAAGTGCCACTTATAGTCCAAAAAATACAGTGTTTAGTTTGAAGACAGTAATTTTTCTCTTCATGTATAAGTTTGGTAAATGGTCACATTTTTCTATGGCGCTTTTCCACCTTCAAGGAACTCACAGCGCTTTACAACAAAGTACCACTCACCCATTCACACACCAGTGTACGCAGACACTGTGGGCAAGCTGGGTTAAGTGTCACAAGGACAGCATTCATCTGTGGGAGCTGGAATCACACCAGCTCAACCTGTGGGTCAGTGGATCTGACCACTCAACCTGTGATGTTTATGTCGAGAGCTGGAATCAAACCGCCAAGTTTGATTGTTCTTGTCGTTTCCAGGTCATTTGGTCGGCTCCGGTGCACCGACTCCTGCTTCATAGACTCCACCGGCTGCAAGTATTTCACCTGAACCAGAGCGGGGAGTCGCGCTGCTGATTCTGCCCCAGTTTGAGTCCTGGTCGCTGGGCACGGGGAGCACACCGGCCCCCTCTGTCTGCGGAGGCTGTGGATCACACCAGAGCAACATGGCTGCCGCACTGTTACACCCAAAGACTGTTCTGTCCTCGATGTTATGACTCCCTGACTGTTAAAATTATATAAGCTGTTTTTTAGTCGCAAAAAATAAGACTCTAAACGTGTAAACGTGAGTGAGTGATCGTTACAGATCACACACTGACCCCAGATGCTTTGTGCGTTTTCAGTACCCACACTCGTTTTGAGCGTCATTTCAAAATAGAATCTTATTTTAATAAAAAAAAAAACAATGTACATTTTTGATTGAATTTAACTCAGATTGTTGTGTCTAAATGTTTATTAAATGTAACTAATGTGATAATATTATGAAAATAGCATTACTTACACTTAATAAATATAATAACATAATAACATAACATAATAAACAGATTTAGGCAATAATCTGACGTGAAAGTGAAAGTGAAAGTAGATTTTTCTCGACTGGAGCTCAAATCCAGTGTGGGCATTGGAGCGTCTCTTTAACACTGACCATAAGAAGTGCAATACTGTTTAATAGCATGTTTCTACTGTCCTGTTAGCGTCCTGTGCTCGTGAATGTCTGACTAGTGAATGTTAAACCCGACAACAAAAAGAATGTTTCGCAGTATAGCATTAGCCAAACAGAACCCCGACCTGAATGCAGTCTAACGGTGTATGAAAATAAAACGTCATATGTTGAGCTGAAGAGTTTGGTTTGTGACTCAAAAAGAACTGTATTTATCATTTTATCACATTAAAAGGTTTTCATGAGGTTTAATAATCCATAGACACATTCACACTTAATCTTTTATTACCCCAACCTGGAAAACCTGGAAATAAACTGGCCAGAAGATCGACCAAAACTAAATTTTAGAGATTTAAGGCCGACAGCCGACATGAAAAAACAGTCCAATTATCGACCCGTGAAGTAAAAAATAACAGTGGTATTAAAATATTTTCAATTGTGTTTTGGTCAAACAACTTGCCACAAATCAGGCAGCCTGGAATGTTCCACAATATGTCATTATACGGATCTATCTGCATTGAATTTTGAGGGTTTTTTTGGTTTGTGGTAAATAGTCAGATTCTTCTACGGCGCTTTTCAAGGCACTTGACAACAAGGAATCACTCACCCATTCACACAGACACTGCGGGTTAAATGTCTTGCCCAAGGACACAACAGCAGCATTCATCTGTGGGAGCTGGAATCACATCAGCCAACCTGTGGGTCTATGGGTCTGACCACTCAACGTGCGATGTTTATGTCGAGAGCTGGAATTGAACCGCCAACCTTCAGATCAGTGGGCGAATGCTCTACTAACTGAGCCACTGCCATTTGTTTTTTGTCTATTAACATCATTAACGTGTACAACAATACAACTCGTTTTGCATCTTTTTATTGAATTCATCTTGAAAAAAAACTGCATTTCTTCACTATGAATAAGTTAATCTAGCCCAGGACTAAACCCGGCCTAAACCAGATCTAGATTTTGACATTTAATTTTTTCTTACATTAACACAAACACCTGCACGTACACAACTTTTAATTTTAATTTTAAATTTTTAAAAATTTTTTCTTGGATTCATCCTGAAAAAACTGCATTTCTTCACGATGAATCAGTAAACCCGGACTAAACCAGGTCTAATTTGGGACTAAACCCGGCCTGAACCAGATCTAATTTGGGATTAAATCTGGCCTAAACCAGGTCTAGCTCAGGACTAGGCCAGGATTTACTAAGTCCTGGTCCAGTGTGGTCTGGGGGCTCGTTGGTCTCTCCTGTCCCTCTTGTGGAGTCCTAGTTTTTTGCTGATCCAGGTTCCGAGCCTCTGCAGCACAGAGGGACATTTGGAAGAACTGGCCCGGGCGCTGGGCTCAGTAAATCGAGCACGAGTGGCGTAGCACTTCTTGAGGTTTCTGTTCAGAGCCACGCTGAAGGCCGGGTTCTGGGCCCGAATAATCGCCGCCTCCATGTCGAGCGGGTCTTTAAACTCATCCCACAGTTCATCCGTCGCCTTAATCATGATCTTCTCCATCGTATCCAAGGTCAAGTTCGGGTCTTTGGGCGCAGAGAAGTAGCACTGCACCACAAAACAGCGGCCTTTCTTCTGGCGTCTTTGCTCTATTATCCAGGGGTCTTCGTCTGTCTTCTCGTGCTTCTTATAGAGCCCGGGTGGATGGTCAAACACCTTGTCGCGGTGGAGAAAGTTGTTGGTGTTGGTGAGGGGGACAGTGATCGTGGAGGCGATTTGGGCCTGAGCCGCACACATCTTCCTCAACTTCTTCACATTCCGGTTCTGACCCCGAGGGAGGTGAATGGTGCTCTTCAGCAGGTAGAGGACAGTGTCATCTCTGCTCTTCACTTCCTCCAACTCCTCCTCCTCTGGACCAGAACCATATCTCTCCACATCTCTTTCCGCCTCCCTTTCTTCCATTATGTCGTCATCATCAGAACTACTTTTCCTCCCTGTCTGTTCTTCTCTCTCCTGCTGGCGTTGTGGGTCGTCTGTAGAGGGTCTCGCCTCAGTTTGGTGCTCTCCGTCCTGGAGCTTTGTCGTTCTGCCTGAGGCCTCCTCTCGTCCGGCTCCAGACGTCACTCCCCCCACGTCTCCAGCTTTGTCTTCGGCGCAGAACCCCACTGAGGCCTTCGCTCGTGCCGCCAACTTCTGTTCCTCAGTGAAGTCCAAAAGAGCCCGGCTCGGGTACTTTGAACTAGTCGTAGCAGTAGCTTTAGTCGTAGTAGTAGTAGTAGTAGGTTTAGTAGTAGTAGTAGCAGCAGGTGTACTTGTAGCTGTAATAGTAATAGTTGCAGCAGGTTTTTTAGAAGTAGTAGGATTAGTATCAGTAGTAGTAGTAGTTGCAGCAGGTGTAGTAGTAGTAACTTTAATTGTAGCAGTAGTACTTGCAGTAGGTGTAGTAGTAGTTGCTTTAGTAGTAGTATCAGTAGTAGTAATAGTAGTTGCAGTAGGTTTCGTAGTAGTAGTAGGTTTAGTAGTAGTGGTATGTTTAGTAGTTGCAGTAGTAGTTGCAGTATCTTTTGCAGTAGCAGTAGTGGAGGTCGCCTGTGGCTGCTGCTCTAGGTCTTTCTTAGACGAGCGACTTGACTCAGTTTGGTTCTTCTCCTCCTGCAGTTTGTCGGTCGTGTCCTGCAGTTTTTCGGTCGTGTCCTGCAGTTTTTCGGTCATGTCCTGCATTTTGTCGGTCGTGTCCTGTGGTTTGTCAGTCGTGTCAGTCGTGTCCTGCAGTTTGTCGATCGTGTCCTGTAGTTTGTCAGTCGTGTCAGTCGTGTCCTGCATTTTGTCTTTCTTGTCCTGCAGTTTGTCGGTCGCGTCCTGCAGTTTGTCGGTCGTGTCAGTCGTTTCCTGCAGTTTGTCGGTCGTGTCCTGCATTTTGTCGGACGTGTCCTGCAGTTTTTCCGTCGTGTCCTGTAGTTTGTCAGTCGTGTCAGTTGTGTCCTGCAGTTTGTCGATCGTGTCCTGCATTTTGTCGGTCGTGTCCTGTAGTTTGTCAGTCGTGTCAGTCGTGTCCTGCATTTTGTCGGTCGTGTCCTGCATTTTGTCTTTCTTGTCCTGCAGTTTGTCGGTCGTGTCAGTCGTGTCCTGCAGTTTGTCTGTCGTGTCAGTTGTGTCCTGCAGTTTGTCGGTCGTGTCAGTCGTGTCCTGCAGTTTGTCGGTCGTGTCAGTTGTGTCCCTGAGTTTGTCGGTCGTGTCCTGCATTTTGTCGGACGTGTCCTGCAGTTTGTCGGTCGTTTCAGTCGTGTCCTGCAGTTTGTCGGTCGTGTCCTCCATTTTGTCGGTCGTGTCCTGCATTTTGTCAGTCGTGTCAGTCGTGTCCTGCAGTTTGTCGGTTGTGTCCTGCAGTTTGTCGGTCGTGTCAATCGTGTCCTGCAGTTTTTCGGTCGTGTCCTGCATTTTGTCAGTCGTGTCCTGCAGTCTATCGGTCGTGTCAGTCGTGTCCTGCACTTTGTCGGTCGTGTCCTGCACTTTGTCGGTCTCGTCCTGCACTTTGTCAGTCGTGTCAGTCGTGTCCTGCAGTTTGTCGGTCGTGTCAGTCGTGTCCTGCACTTTGTCGTTCGTGTCAGTCGTGTCCTGCAGTTTGTCAGTCGTGTCAGTCGTGTCCTGCAGTTTGTCGGTCGTGTCCTGCACTTTGTCGGTCGTGTGTCGGTCGTGTCAGTCGTGTCCTGCAGTTTGTCGGTCGTGTCAGTCGTGTCCTGCAGTTTGTCGGTCGTGTCAGTCGTGTCCTGCAGTTTTGTCAGTCGTGTCAGTCGTGTCCTGCAGTTTGTCGGTCGTGTCAGTCGTGTCCTGCAGTTTGTCGGTCGTGTCCTGCAGTTTGTCGGTCGTGTCAGTCGTGTCCTGCAGTTTGTCGGTCGTGTCAGTCGTGTCCTGCAGTTTTTCAGTCGTGTCCTGCAGTTTGTCGGTCGTGTCAGTCGTGTCCTGCAGTTTGTCGGTCGTGTCCTGCAGTTTGTCGGTCGTGTCAGTCGTGTCCTGCAGTTTGTCGGTCGTGTCAGTCGTGTCCTGCAGTTTGTCGGTCGTGTCAGTCGTGTCCTGCAGTTTGTCAGTCGTGTCCTGCAGTTTGTCGGTCGTGTCCTGCACTTTGTCGGTCGTGTCAGTCGTGTCCTGCTTTTGTCGGTCGTGTCAGTCGTGTGTCCTGCAGTTTGTCAGTCGTGTCCTGCAGTTTGTCGGTCGTGTCGGTCGTGTCAGTCGTGTCCTGCAGTTTGTCGGTCGTGTCCTGCACTTTGTCGGTCGTGTCAGTCGTGTCCTGTTTGTCGGTCCTGTCAGTTTGTCGGTCGTGTCGGTCGTGTCCTGCAGTTTGTCGTCGTGTCCTGCAGTTTGTCGTCGTCGTTTGTCAGTCGTGTCCTGCACTTTGTCGGTCGTGTCAGTCGTGTCAGTCGTGTCCTGCAGTTTGTCGGTCGTGTCCTGCAGTTTGTCGGTCGTGTCAGTCGTGTCCTGCAGTTTGTCGGTCGTGTCAGTCGTGTCCTGCAGTTTGTCGGTCGTGTCAGTCGTGTCCTGCAGTTTGTCAGTCGTGTCCTGCAGTTTGTCGGTCGTGTCCTGCACTTTGTCGGTCGTGTCCTGCACTTTGTCGGTCGTGTCAGTCGTGTCCTGCAGTTTGTCAGTCGTGTCCTGCAGTTTGTCGGTCGTGTCAGTCGTGTCCTGCAGTTTGTCGTCGTGTCAGTTGTGTCGTCCTGCAGTTTTCGTCGTCGTGTCAGTCGTGTCCTGCAGTTTGTCGTCGTGTCCTGCAGTTTGTCGGTCGTGTGTCTGTCAGTTTGTCGGTCGTGTCCTGCACTTTTGTCGGTCGTGTCAGTCGTGTCCTGCAGTTTGTCGTGTGTCAGTCGTGTCCTGCAGTTTGTCGTGTCGTGTCAGTCGTGTCTGTCTGCAGTTTGTCGTCGTGTCGTCCTGCAGTTTGTCGGTCGTGTGTCAGTCGTGTCCTGCAGTTTTGTCGGTCCGTGTCGTGTCGTTGTCAGTCGTGTCCTGCAGTTTGTCGGTCGTGTCCTGCAGTTTGTCGGTCGTGTCCTGCAGTTTGTCGGTCGTGTCCTGCACTTTGTCGGTCGTGTCAGTCGTGTCCTGTGTCCTGCAGTTTGTCGGTCGTGTCAGTCGTCGTGTCCTGCAGTTTGTCGGTCGTGTCAGTCGTCGTGTCCTGCAGTTTGTCGGTCGTGTCGTTTGTCGGTGTGTCCTGCAGTTTGTCGTCGTGTCGTGTCCTGCAGT